GGCGCGTGTGCGTGCGTGCCCAAGATCCCGAGAGGAGAATGGAGGAGAAGGGATTGCGGCGTGACCATCCCCCCTGGGGGGTGATTTCTCACTTTCTGTCTCTATGTCTCTCTCTGTCTGTCTGGCGAGCGCACGTGCCCTACAGTGAAAATCTCTCAAAAAAAGAGAGAAGGCTAAAGGGGCTCCCTACCACTCGTTTGTGGGCTGGAGGCTGAATTATCAGTAGAAAATCTTCATTTCTCTTTTTTCCCTGAAATCACTAGTTCTCAGAAACCATGGGAGAGTCTTCTGAAGACCTGCCCCTTGCCTCTCCACTCGAGTTTGTGGGCTGGAGGCTGAATTATTGGTAGGAAATTTTCATTTCTCTTTTTTTCCCTGGAATCACTAATTCTCAGGAGCCATGGAGGGGTTTTCTTCTCTAATTAATTTTTATTTTTATTGGACCAGAGAGAGACAAAGAGAGAGAGAGGGAAGGTGAGAAAGCAAGCCACCAGGTTCAGGACTCGAACTGCAGTCGGCCATGTGGGAGTCCAATGCCCTTAACCACCATGCCACCTGTTGGCTCTGTTGATGGCTATATTTCAAAACAATGGGTTTTGTTCGTAATTCTATGTATTTTAATAGCTTTATTGAAATATAATTTATAAATTGTAATTCTCTAAAATGTTTATTTATTTTAAAATATATTTATTTCTTGCTTTACAGAGGCAGACAGAGATAGATGGAGGGAGACAGTGAAACAGGCATGTCCAGCAAGGTCTTCACACAGGAGGCCACCATCAGTCTCAGTGGGCATGGGTCACAACCATGTGGGTGCGCTGTGCATGCTCAGGGAGGTCCTAGGACATGGACCTAGGACTTTCCCATGTGGGTCCCATTGTCTTAGTGCTATGCCACCTCATAGTCCCTGTATTTGACATTTTTTATTCAGCATAAAGTTTTCAGGGTTTAGCCATGCTGTAGCCTATGTCACTACTTCAGTCCTTTTTATGGTCTGATATTCCTTTATATTTGTATATTTTATTCATCCATCTTCCTTTTTTGAACATTTGATTTGCTTTCACTTTTCAGCTATTATGAATCACGCCACTGTGAACATTCATATGCAGGTTTCCATGTGGACATACATTTTTAGTTGTCTTGGGTATATAGGTTTAATTTCTTGAGAAACTGACAAACTTAACCAAAGCAGCTGTACTGTTTTTTTAATGAAAAATTTTAATTATTATTTTAATTTTATTATTATTTTTATTTTACTGGGAAAAGGCAGACGGAGATTGAGAGAAAGGGAAAGTGAAAAAGCAAGCTCCCTGGGACCAGCAGTTAGCGTAATGGCTATGTCGCTGGACTCCCACGTAGTCGACCGCGGTTCGAGTCCCGGACCCGGTGGCTTAAACTCACGCCGGGCACGTGTGCGTGCGTGCCCAAGATCCCGAGAGGAGAATGGAGGAGAAGGGATTGCGGCGTGGCCA